CGAGTCATTTGGAAAGTGTCGCCGTGTTTATTGATTTTATACTGCTCGTCGGCCTGTGAATCCTTATCACGGCTCGCTATAACAGTTGGCGAGTAAATTTGATATAATATCGGGTTAGTCTCCTGGCGGTAGTAGCTGGTATAGAACCCGGTCATAAGCCTATCAAAACGTATTTATTGGGCTCGTGCACGCGTCAGGCCAGACCGAGTCAGACGAAAGCTAGGCAAGCCAAGCCCCCATCGCAGCGCGACGACAGTTTCGCGTGTGTTTGCACTTTTCCGGTCGTTTTCTTAGCTTCTCCACCCCCGCCCGTCTGAGCGCCAGCTCCAAATTCGGAGGGTTGGTTTTTCGGCTTCAAAGCTTAGAAATTGATAGCAACGACAAATCATACGCGCGTACCTTGGCCAAGTCTGCGAAAGTCAGCTGCATTCTTTTGGTGCTCAGTGTATGGAAATCAAGTATATTGGCTTTCAAAAGTATTGTCGCCATCAAAGTCTTAATTGCCTACAAAATCAATTTGCGACAAAATATCTACCTGAGCGTATAGCTGAACCTGTTGCCGAAGTTTATTAAGGTAAATTTTATTATTCTTATTTATTATTTAATTCATTTAATCTTCAAATATTCAATTTTCATTCTAGACTTGAAGGAAATACTTGGAAGAAATACCTGGAGGACGACATGATTGGAGGACATACTTCGGAAAAATACTTCGGGAAAATCTTTGAAGAAAAAATGGAGGAAACACTTCTAGACGAAATATTCCGAGGAAAATATATACATACATATAAATACCTAAAAATTTTAATTTTTGCTCTCAAATAAGATAACCATACATATTTTCCATAGCCTTATTAAAATACCACCAAATTTTATGTACTACAACTTTTAATTAAATTAACGAAATTATTTACATAAAACACAAAACTTTTTGTCTTATATTTATTTATAAATTTTGCGACATGAACGGGTATTACGCAGTCGATTGAGCCTAACATCAACTTCTTACTGGCTCACATTTTCTTTAGGGTGGGTGGCTCATAACTTGTTAGCAGTGCGGTGCGCACCACCCGAAAGTGAAGTTATTTGTCGTCTTGCAACAATTTGCTGGCCTGCTAATAAAATTTGATAAGCCAAAGTGGAGCGCCAGACGCCAAAGCAGCCGAGCATAAAATGTTGGCACACTGCACGCAAATTGGGGATAAATTTAATGCCGCAGCGCGGGTGGGTGGCAGGACATGGCGCGGGGGCGTGTAATGCAGGGGGAGTGACAGTGCCACACAGACAGAGACCACCCCCATATCTATTGGAAAGTTAATTTGTGCCCCAAGCATGCATAAAAATGTGGCCAGCACACGAGAGACGACTCAACCGACTGATGCTGTGCCTCCTGCTTCTCCTGCTACTCCCAGTCCTCCCGATGCTGCTGCTGCTACGTTCATTAGCCATAAAAATGTGTGTTTGCCTCATCGTTAGCCATCAGAGCTTGCAGATTTTTCTACTTTTATTTTGTGCGCTTTGGCCCTGGCACTCGCTCTCTTTGATTTATTCGATGTGTTTTGATTTGCGCCATTTCATTCTATTCCATTTGATGGCCGAGCCCTCCGCATCCCAAAACTTTCTCTGCTCTTGGCCATTTGCTGCATGCGAAATGCATTTTTGATGACAGTTAATGGAGTTTTTACTGCCTTTGAAGCGCACTTTATGGGAGACAGAGCAGAGTAGAGTAGAGTAGAGCTGTCCAGAGCAGTACCTCCCCCCTCGACAACAAATATTCCCCAGCCTCCGCTGACTTGGCATCTTTTTTGTTTCACTTTTTTGGGGGGGCCTCCCAAGTTTTGTGCAAATGATTGAGGGTTGGCTCATTTTATTAAGCGCAGACAGACACTTTTTGGATATACATATATCTTCTTTTTTTTTTGCAATAACTTGACTCTATAAAACCATTTTTTTTATATTTTTTGGTTTTTATGGCTATTAATAAACGAAAATTTGGATATTTTTCGTATATTTATCATGTTCATAACATAAATTGTTGCCCAATTCTGTTTATATAGAAAAGTAATGAGAGTTTTGAAATACATTTTTGACAGGGTTATTGGCTTACTAATATACATATTTTTAAATTAGATACTTTGAAGAAATTGTGTTTTTTAATATTCAATGGTAAGTAGATAAAATACGAATAATTAAATTTTTTTTTTAATATTTATGTATTCACTTTAAATAAAAAGTTGCAAAAATAAACAACAAAAATTATAAAACAACGTTTATAAAATCGAAATATATTTAAAATCAGGGTATAAAAATATAAAGTATAAATTATTTTTGTATAAGATTAAATATTAGATTTTTAGAATAAGTAAAAACATTTATTAATATTTAAAAATTAATATAATATTCATTTTTTGCTTAATATTACAACTAAGTATTTTAAGTTGTTCCAATTGTTGCTTGCTTTTAGAGGTTAATGCTATTTAATGGGATATAATTATTTGTACT